TAAGGGTGCTTTCACGTCTCTAGTTCACTTCATTTAGTCCGCACCAAGGGTAATAAATGATACATTGTTGCATCTTCTGCTGTCTTCGGGTCGTTTTCACACCACACTGCCGGCTTTGGTCCGAACCAGTTGAAACGAACCAAAATGCAGTCATCTGACAAAATCCACATCACTCATTGGCCAGATGTTGTTGAACATATTTCCTAAACTGCTTATTGATTGGTCAGAATTCACGTGCGGGAAAATGCCAATGAACTCCTGTAAGTAAACAAACCGGCAGACACAAAATGTTGTTTTTACTCTGGAGGGACGACTGCGCTGACTGATTGTATCCCTGCTTTAGACATACTATACATTTTGAGAATGAAGCTGGAAAATGCATCGCTCGTCACTTCAGGAGGAGGCGTGAATTAATTTAGCTAAACTGCGACATGGTCATCTTGCGGAAATTTTAGCAACGATCCATCAGGTAATGTTTTCCCCTCTCTCTCTCTCTGTTGGTAAAGCGCTGTCAACAAATATTTTTCCTCCATATCCCATAATGCACAGCGCATCGGCCTACGGCAGCTGGTTTAGTCCAAAAGGCGCAGTACTTTTTGCGGTTGGACCTGTTTTAGTACGGATCTTATTCTCACCACTAACGAACCGATACAGGGTTCGTTTGAAAGCGTACCGAGACCACCTCTTTAAGCTGGTCTGGGTACGCTTATTTGGTCTGCTTTTGGTGCACACTCGAGTACGATTGCTGCATTTTCACCTGCCCAAACGAACCAAACCAAAAGGGAAAACGAACTCTAGTGCGATTCAACTGAACTAAATAAGGCAGGTGTGAAAGCACCCTTAAACTCGATAAATGCCGTAAAGATGATTTGATTCGTATGCAATACACTGTGTTTTAAATCGACATAACCTAGTTAAATTTCCATACAACGTGGGATTGGAAGATCTAAATAATCAGACAACTATCATATACTGTATACAGTTGAAGTCAGAATTATTTGCCCTCCTGTAATTTTTTTTTTCCCAAATATTTCTCAAATGATGTTTAACAGAGCAAGGAAATTTTCACAGAATTTCATAGAGTATTTTTTCCTCTGGAGAAAGTCTTATTTGTTTATTTCTGCAAGAATAAAAGCAGTTTTTTTTATTTTTTTTAAAGCATTTTAAGGTCAATATTATTAGCCCCTTGAATTTTTTTTTCACTTTAAGCTGAATACTAGTATCTTAAATAATATCTAGTCAAATATTATTTACTGTCTGTCATGTCTGCTGTAGTGCCATCTTGTGGTTTTCTGGACACTAGTTATGTTTTGGTTTGTTCCTGCTTTGTAGTTCACGTGATCACTAATTGTTTCCAGCTGTCTGTCATTGTCTAATTATCGTTGTCTTTATAAGCCTTGTTATGTTGTGTTTAATTTGCCTTTGGATTTTTGCTGTTTGCTCGTGCACCCTGTTCATCTGGTTTGTTTTGTCCGGCTTTTATCTGTACCTAGTCTGCTCACTGACTCATCGTTTTGTTTGTTTGTTTGTTCACTTTGTTTCATGTTGTGATCATATTTTTGAACTCCTGTTCTAACTTTGTTTGATTCACTTTTGGTTTATTGTGTTGTACTTTTGTCTCTGTTCGATTTTTGAACCTGGCCTGTCCCCTTATTTATTATTAAAACTTCTATTGCTGCACTTGGATATCTCTTGTATTTTGTAAGCCCATCGTGACACTGTCATCATGTCAAAGATAAAATAAATCAGTTAATAGAAACGAGTTATTTAAACTATTATGCTTAGAAATGTGTTGAAAAAATCTTCCCGTTAAACAGAAATTGGGGGAAAAATTACATTGGGGCTAATAATTCAGGAGGGCTAATAATTCTGACTTCAACTGTACGTGTCTTCACATCAAATAAAAATTCCTTCATTTTCCAGATTGTTTTGCTGGGCGATCACCAACAGATCCGCCCGATAGTGCAGTGTGGCCATGTGAAGAACAAGGGTATGGAGAAATCTCTGTTTGAACGCTACATGGATCTGGCCAATATGCTGGACACGCAGTACAGAATGGTAAGAACTAAAAACAATAAATCAGTTTTCAGACTAAAACAGAAAACGATGAACAGAATCTATAAAAAGTAGTGTTTATTCATATTTATTACTTTGAAATCTAACACTTGCACATGTATGCTAGCATGCAGAAATTTGCAGCTTTCCTTCAGATGAGTTTTATGATGGCAAACTGAAAACCGGAGCTGAACGTGGACCCTGCTGCCTGCTGAACAAGAGCAAGGAGCCTACGGCCATGCTGTTCGGCCACATTGAAGGAAAAGAAGTCAGCTTAGTGGTGTCTACAGAAAAGGGCAATGAAAACTCAATGGCCAACACTGAGGAGGCAGAGCAGGCGGTAAGTCTGATAAAACCACAGCAATGCCAATATTTATTAAACCAATGGTCTATATGCACTGCCAGTGTTTTTCAGCCTGTGATGAACTTCCAGTGAAAGCTTAATGTGACTATTTCATGAGGTTCATTTTACAGCATCAACGTTGTAATGTAATTAAAATAGACTTAAAGGGCACCTATGGTGAAAAATCTACTTTTTAAGCTGTTTGGACAGATGTGTGTGTATATATATATATATATATATATATATATATATATATATATTTATAGTGTATAAGACAGTCATATTGGGGTGATATAAACACACACAGTCCTTTTTTTTTCAATTTAACAACATTATCAGAATTATTGCTTGTACCTTTTGCGTGGTGCGGCGCCGTGCATTTCAGAGTTCTGGGCGTGGGTTTCTGTCGGGGTGCTTTGGGTCAGAGGCTCGGCGGCCACGGTGCCGTTGTGTTTGCCCTGGTGGAGGCCTGTGTTTGGAGTTCTGGAATGCGTGGCGCAATAATTCGGGAGACTTCATGTTTCTGCTGTGCCACAGAGAGTGTCTGGTGTGCCGTGTCGCGGCGCATTCGGTGCCTCAGTCAAAGTTAATTCGGTGTGTTTGGTTATCAGTCTCGGTGTACAAGCTCAGCACTTGTACACCAAGTCTATACAAACTATACAAAGACACAAATGATTTTGTACTCTCTGCTAGGTCTGTGTCCGAGTCGTACATGTATGGCTGAATGCTGATCCAAGCTTAGCTGAGCTTCTCTCTCTCTGTCTGTCAGCCTGTCTGTTGCAAACACAGAATGTGGGAGCTTTGGTTCCGCCCCCTTGTTATGTTGGACGGGAAGCCGAAACTAATTTTCATGTGAAGCAACACACCCCTATAACAGCAAACTGTGTAAACGCCCCCAAAATAACACTTTTTAACACATTATAATAAAAACATCTGAACTGTGTGTTGAACTGAACCTAAACCGGCACACTCAGAACAACCATAATATTAATATTAAATCTTTAAAAAGGGGTAAACTATGTGCCCTTTAAGCATTCATTTAATTGTTCAAGTGCAAAATTAGATGAAAGACTGTGTAAGCCAGGGGTGTCCAAACTCGGTCCTGGAAGGCCGGTGTCCTGCATACTTTAGCTCCAACTTGCTTCAACACACCTCCCTGGAAGTTTCTAGTATACCTACAAAGAGCTTGATTAACTGGTTCAGGTGTGTTTCATTGGGGTTGGAGCTAAAAGGTGCAGGACACTGGCCCTCCAGGACTGAGTTAGGACACCCCTGGTGTAAGCGCTAGTTCTGTCAGTAGCAGCAGGCTAGCACTGAAAATCCATTCAAAATACTGGGGTAAAATAAATGTTTCCTTATTTTAAAGACATGGCAGGGGGAATGGAGTTTAATGCGGTGCTTCTTGTACATTCTCAGACCCACTTTATAATGTATATCAATCAGGCACACATACTTTAAATGCAGTGATTTTGTATGGAATGACAATTCAGCAGAAGCGATTGAGCTGACTGACTGAAAATTAAACGGATTTAATGTGTGCATAAATCACATTAAAGTCTGACTGCTATGTTGATTAAATCATAGTGTAAGCAAGTTTATATGGGTAACTTGTGTGAGTACTGACTTGCCAATTGAATTTGTACACATTGTGTCATGACTGTGTTTGTCCATCAGATGCCACTGTAGTTCGCCAGCAACCCCCAGCGAACTACAGTGGCTTTAGAACTACATTTCCATACATTCTTTCGCGCACACACCCGGTCTGTCATCTACACTGATTTACAACCACAGCTGTCTCCGATCACTGTTGATTACCTTGACTATATATTCAGTCATTTATCCTCTGTTTGTCAGTTGGTCGTTGTCGTCTTTGGTATGTTGTTCCTGATCCTTGCATTTGCATCTTGTTATAGTCTAGTTCGAGTTTCATCTGTCTTAGTTTCTTGTTTTGTTTGTTTGTTTGCTATTTTGTTACTTTGGATTTTTGTATATTTTTCACTTTCACTGCACTATAAATCATTTAAATTGCACTTGGATTCTACACCCGTTTTTGTTCCTGTTTTGATCACTCTAATGTGACACATTGTGTACTTCATTCATTTTTTTTTTTTTTTTGTCGGCTTAGTCCCTTTATTAATCCGGGGTCGCAACAGCGGAATGAACCGCCAACTTATCCAGCAAGTTTTTACGCAGCGGATGCCCTTCCAGCCACAACCCATACCTGGGAAACATCCACACACACATTCAGACACACACTCATACACTACGGATAATTTAGCCAACCCAATTCACCTGTACCACATGTCTTTGGACTGTGGGGGGAAACCGGAGCACCCGGAGGATACCCACGCAAACGCAGGGAGAACATGCAAACTCCACAAACAATTCATATAGACTGAAATTAAAGAAATCAATTAAGTTGAACACTACTAAATTTAATATGTTTTGCAACCAGTTACCTTAAAGAAAATATAGTAAATCCGATGAATCATTTTAATTTAATGTAATGTGTAATGAGTTGTTTCGCTGCACTGGTGCTCTAACAGAATAAGCTCAAAACTAGAACTTCATAGGAAAGCTGGAAGGCAGCGTTTGTCCTGTAACACTAGAGCACATCTTATTCTCATTTAGTCCCTATTCTCTTTTACGATATATCGTTGTTTGTTTGTTTTGTCCGCAGGTCTGTGTGGCAGATCTCTTGATTAAACAGTCAGGTGTGTCACCTGAGCATATTGCAATTCTGACCCCTTACAATGCACAGGTGTCCGAGATCAAAATGACACTGGAGAAGAAGAATGTTAGAAACGTCACCGTCTGCACTGTGATGAAAAGCCAAGGTGTGTTTTTACTAATTTACTACTACTTCTATGTTAAGTGCCACAATCTACATTGTAAAAGCGCTATAGAAATAAAGATGAATTGACTTTGATGAATTGTTTTCCATGTATCTTCTGAAGCTGAAGAGTTCAGATGCCAAAACCTTTAAGTGCCGTCTAAAATTTCCATAGAAAATGAATATTTTTCTCAGTCTCCTTTGTTCATTGTCACCGACTCGGTCCCGGTCATTCCCCTCGCTGGCCAGCAGAGGCCGCCATCTCCGGACTTTTAGCATTACATCATCCATCTAGACTGATTGCGCATACACCTGATCTGAATCTTGTTAACGACCCACGTACCTCATATAAGCCGCACTCAAACACTCAGTGCGAAGTCTTGTTCAGCCCCGGCCAGCATTACTGAGCGTTATATCCAGCCTGATCTCTAGTGTACGACTCCAGCCTGTCTCTTACTTTGCTTCGCCTTCTGCCTGCCCTCGACCCACGCCTGATACACGGACTCTGATTCTCGCTGCCTGCCCTCGACCCAAGCCTGATACACGGACTCAGATTCACGCCCACTGCACTCTACTCATGCCTGGTAACTTACTCTGTGTCTGTTCACCGTCATTCTTGAAACCATTACTACTACTGTGGATGTGTGTGTGTGCACCCAGGTGCATATTATGTGTTTGAGTGAAGTTGTGATTAATAAATACTGCATAATGGATCCCTCCGTGTCAGTCTCCTTGTTACATTCATGTTGAGATATATCACTTTTAAGACCAGGAAAAGGACTTATTATTTGCCATAAATGTGATATTACTGAACATACACACAGGAGCCTGATAAACATGCTCTTTTTAGAGAAATTTTAGACAGGTTTTTTTGCATCTAAACTCTTCAGTTGCAGATCTTTTTCTCCATTAAAGTTTGTCTTGTCATCAAACAGAGCATAGCGTTAGCAGAGGATTGGTTTAGCATAGCGTTTTTATTAGATTTAAATATTTCTGTGTTTCTTGGTCACACTTTACAATAAGCTTCATTAGTTAATATTGATTAATTCATTTACTAACATGAACAAACAATGAGCAATAAATCTACTACTGTATTTGTTCATTTTAGTTAACGTTAGTTCATGAAAATACAGTATTTCATTGTTAGTTAATGTTAACTCATGGTGCATTAACTAATGTTAACAAGCATGGACTTGGATGTTAATAATGGATTAGTAAATGTTTAATTATGATTTATAAATGCTGTTCATGTGTTGTTCATGATTAGTTCATGTTTGTAAATGCATTAACTAATGAGCCTTATTGTAAAGTGTTACCTATTTCTTTGTGTTTCTGCTGTGTGCAGGAAGCGAGTGGCCGTATGTGATCGTCTCCACCGTTCGCTCCTGCTCCACATCTGACATACAGGCTTATAGAGTCAGACCACATAAAGCCTGGCTTGGGAAAAGACTAGGATTCGTCACCGATGCAAATCAAGTCAATGTTGCTATAACTCGTGCACAGGATGGACTGTGCATTCTGGGTAAGGAGTGAAGAGCGTGTACTTTAGACACACACAAACACACACCTACTTTATAAAGTACAAACAGGAAGCAGTGTGACAGTTTACACTGAAAATAGCGAAAATATAAAGTGCACCTGGATCATAAAACCAAACATGTTTAACACAGGCTCATTCTGATTACGTACCACTATATACATTTCTAGAGAGCACCAAGTATGTTTACATTTACATATACATTTAGTTATTTAGCGGACGCTTTTATCCAAAGCGATTTACAGATGAATGTATGTACCGGCAGCTACGTTTTTCCCGTTTTTGTAATCCACCAGAGGCCGCTCTGTATGTGTCACACAACCAGCGATCGCTTCCCAGACGATCGCTGGTTCTCACACGAACTCTCATTTCCGCATTCCCCAGGACTACATTTTCATACATGCACTGCTCCCAGACACACACGCCTGCTCAGACATCTATCCTGATTGCATCACCAGCTGGACCTTGTTCACAGACTGATTTCATCCCATTCATAAGCCACTCTCTCACGCTACCAGTTTGCCGAGTCTTGTTTACCCAGTGTGACATTACAACGCGTTTCCCTGTCTTGTTTCTCCGTGCTTGAACCTAGCCTTGTATCCTTGTCATCCTGTATAGCTGCCTGCCTTTCGACCTTTGCCTGTTTAATGTTTATGATTCTGGACTGCCTTCATATACCCGTTTGCACCTGATGACCACTGCTTGCCTAACATTGAATAAACCTGCATATTGGATCTTACCTTCTGTTGTGAGTGTCACTCCCCCCAGCCGTAACAGTATGCTTTTTGAGATTTCAAATTTCTCTCACGAGTGCTATTCACACCTGCAGTTCTCACGTGAATCCACCAGAGGCCGCTGTCGACTGACTGACTGACCGATCAACTAACCCACTCTCATCCTTCCTTAAACCCAACCAATAATGTTTTCAAAAGCATTAACCCGATCACCCTCTTCCCTAAACCCAACTGACAGTTTTAAAAAGCAATCCAGAAAAAGAAAAGTCCTCGTAGCAGCCGCGTTTTCAGATTTTACCACATTCTCACCCTATTATGTACTTGTTTATTTTATTTTTTGGCTTCTCTTTTTGTCTTACCTGCTTTCTGCAATCCTTCTTCGCCAAACTCGAATCCCGTCATCGTAGTCAACTCCGCTCAACGTCACAAGTCCGCCGATGTACATGGCGAGCTACTGGACAAACTGGTAGCAGTGGGAAAGCTGCCCATACGGAGACAAGCGGTCAGCTAGTAAGTGCGAGAAGGAACGACGTCATACGGTCACTTAGCGTTCGTTTTAAAGACGAAATGCAGCCATCCATAGCTCTGGCTACATAAATCAGGATCTGTATATGTATGTAGGGCTACGTTTTCAGAATGAACCTATGTTAGGCATAATAATCAAACCACTGTAAAAGTAATCAACCTAGTTAAGCCTTTAAATGTCACTTTATGCTGTATAGAAGTGTCTTGAAAAATATCTAGTCAAATATTATGAATTGTCATCATGGCAATGAGAAAATACATCAGTTATTAGAAATAAGCTATTAAAACTATTACGTTTAGAAATGTGATGAAAAAAAATCTTCCCTTCGTTAAACAGAAATTAGGGAAAAAAATAAACGGGGGCTAATAATTTAGGGGGGGGGGGGCTAATAATTGAACTGTCTATATATATAAAGTAGTGTGATAAACAGTGTTGCCAGATTGGACGGTTTTGAACATGATCGTGCAGGTGTAAAATGACAATGACATAAGGGTATCAAAAATTCGGGCAGTTTTGCAACTCAACGCCTGCCCCCTCTAATGTGTTCTCGGGACTGTCACTTAGTGTGATTATCAGATGACTGGGTGGGGTTTTTTGCATTTCGGTGGGTTTTGGATAGTTTTTGAGCTGGAATCAGTCAACTACATCTGGCAAGACTGGTGATAAAGTGTTTGCCCCTTATTGAAGTCTTATTTTTTTGCATGTTTGTCACACTTTCATGTTTTAGATAATCAAGCAAATGTATAGAATAAGGTCATGCATGTATTAATGCTTTATAACCTTTCCACATGGGTAGATCACAATTATTTTCTTTAATTCTCCACATCTAGTTTTTTTGAGGATCTTTTGGTCTACTTCACTTTGTCAGCCAGATCCTATTTAAATGATTTCTCTATTGCAAACAGCTTTTGTAAATGATTCATATGCCTGTTCTGGCAGTGTTTATATTCTACAAATGTTAGTTTATAGAAAAAAAAGGTTGTCTTTTTTGCCCACTCATTTATTTTTTATAGAGTTTATGACCCACTGGTCAAATATTATTTACTGTCATCATGGCAAATATAAAAAAAAATGTATTAGAAATGAGTTATTAAAACGATTGTTTAGAAATGTGTTGAAAAAATCTCTCCATTAAACAACAACACTTGGGAGGTATTTTAAAAAGAACTCAAATGAATATTTTAATTGTATATACATGTAATATTGAGATTTTTGTTATCTCTTAGGTAATAGTGACCTGTTGAGATGCTGTGAACTTTGGGACAGACTCCTGGATCACTATTACAGAAAAAGTTGTGTGGTTAATCCAGCCAGTGACATTCGGGTCAAAGCAAAGGCATCAGAAGGACTGGCCATTTATACAGGAAACCAAAAGGAAGATACAAATTTCTGTGACCATATTTGCAATGCACTATGAAATACACTCCGAAATGAAAGGATAAGAGCTGTCACTGGGGTTGGACCTTGGTACCTCAAAGGCATATATATATATATATATATATATATATATATATATATATATATATATATATATATATATATATATATATATTAGCTACTACTTTTTAGGTACTAATATGTACCCTTGAGTACCACAGTTCCATCTCTTGTATTCCTGAGAGTGTAGATTTAACGGTGTTTCAACAAATATTGAATCGCAGTCCATGTTTGGGGCTCATTAGAGACAATAGTTTGTTTTATTTACATGTTAAATCATTTAGATCATTTAGTAGTTTTCTGTTTTCTCTTTCATAATAACTAGCTGATTTATTAGTGCCACTTGTGCCTTCTTAGGACTTTTATTTAACATTTATAATGTTGCATTCAAGTTGCTGAATCCTAAAAATTTTTTTAATTATATTTGTTATAATGTGCATTTTTGTATTTGCAGCTTACCTAAATATTGTGATGACATTATATATACAGTGCAAGTCAAAATTATTATTATTTTGTTCTTTTTTTTTTTAATTTTTCAAAAATGATGTTTAACAGAGCAAGAATTTTTTCACAGTATTTCCCATAATATTTTTTCTTCTGGAGAAAGTCTTATTTGTTTCATTCTGGCTAGAATAAAAGCAGTTTTTAATTTTCTTCTTAATTCTAGGGTCAGTTTTATCAGCCTTTTTATGCAATGTTTCTTTTCAATAGTCTACAGAACAAACCACTGTTATACAATGACTTGCCTAATTACCCTAACTTGCCTAATTAACCTATTTAAGCCTTTAAACGTCACACTAGTATCTAGAAAAATATCTAGTCTAATATTATTTACTGTCATCATGGCAAAGATAAAATAAATCAGTTATTAGAGATGAGTTGTTAAAACTATTATGTTTAGAAATGTGTTGAAAAAAATCTGCTCTCCATTAAACAGAAATTGGAGAATAAATGTACAGAGGGGGCTAATAATTTTGACGTCAACTGTATCATGATAAAAGATTTAGATATTGTCACAGTAGAGAAGTTTGACTCTGCATTTTATCTTTTAACTGCACACAGAAAAGTCCTCGTTTGTTGATGCAGCTTACAGTTTACTGTCAATACAGATTTTTATTCATGGTTGGTTGATGTTTTATTGGTCGAATGTCTCTCTGGTTGTTTGTAAGCTTCATTTATTTGTAAAGCAGGTTTAAAACAAGACTGACCAAATGGCTTTACAACAGTGGTCCTCAACCACCGTGGATCAATTGATACGGGGCCGCACAAGAAATCATTAATTATTTCTGTTTTATTTATTATTGGAGTCCGAACAATCTTTTTTTTTTTTTTTTTTACTATATTTTTTTTAATTACTATAATCTCTCACTTACATCTTGGTCACTTCAGCGGCCAAATCAGGGGCCTCATGTACGAAGACTTGCATGGAGGTCATACTAAAACATTGCGTACGCACAAAGCTGTAAATGTGCGTACGTAGAAAAAAATTCAGATGTATGAAACACTGCGTACGCCGAACCTCACGCATATTCTTTTGTACATCAGAATGAAAGTGAAACAGTGCAACATGCACGAGCACAAAACCCCTCCCTGCCTCCTCCCCCGTATGAATATGCTAATGACTATGCTAATGGCAAAACCCAAAGAAAAAGCAAAGGCAAAAGCAAGCAAGAAGAGAAACTTTAAACAGAATGTGAATTGGAGGTGCTGCTTTCGGAGGTAGACTGGAGAAAAACTGTGTTAAACACAGTTAAGTCTGAACATCGCACTGAGTGGATCAAAAAAATAAATAGTGTGGTTTATATGTGTAAATTGTTGGGGTGTCCTTAACAGTTTCAGTGGCGCAGCTCATAAAGCGAATGGTCTTATGTTTTGACACGTTTGAGCATGAACTCTGTTCGAATCCAGCGTCTGATGAACTCTTTCTTCTTTTTTTCCTCGCGCTACATATCAGATTTTGCCTACTATTTATCACGAGAAAGACCAGTAGGAATCATTAATAAGTCTGTGCATCATATTGTATTTGCACATTTATTGAATGGAAATGTTTCTGATTCACGTACGCAAATTCATCTTCACATGGTGCCTTTATAGCAATGTGTGTGCAGTAGATAGCTCAGATTACATTTGGAAAACAGGCGACCGCTGCAAATTGTGCTTTAATGTTTAGCTGGTCAACTACGTGGTATGGAAAACTTATATACCTGCTAGATGAACCCGTCTCATACAGCTGCCATTGCAAGGCTCAAAGACACTTTGTAGAGAGGAATTAAACTCAACTGCCTCAAAAAAACAAAAAATGTGCGTACGCCAGCCATAAAGCTGCCATGGAGCTGCGCACATTCCCACGTTCAGTTCATCGTTAGTAAATCCACACGTGACCGATTCTGAGCGTGAAACCTGGCACAGCAAAGTTTTTGTGCATACGCAGCGTTGATACATGAGGCCCCAGGTGACTCCAGCATGTCTGTGCAAGAAGATCAACTGATGGAGATCCCAAATGATGACGGCCTTTTAGGACCGATCAGCTTCAGCTTGTATGGAATATGCACATTTCAGTAGACTAATTATCTCTGACAAACACAGTTCACTGTCCTCTGACATTGGTTAATGGTAGCAACCTTCAATTTACGAAAACCATCTAAAAAGTTAAATATAAAATAAAAATTGAAGCACAAATAAAACATGATTCCCAGTAGGCAATCATGAGTTTTTCTTACTAATTAAAGCATTTATCTCAGCTATCGCATATATTTTAATCATCTCCAAAATAATGAACACAACATGATGTGACAAATTGGTGAGCACTCAGACCCGCAGTTATTTTTACCTACATTTATTTATTGTCTTTTCAGTCCCTTTATCAATTAGGGGTCGCCAAAGCGGAATGAACCACCGAGTTATCCAACATATGTATTACACAGCGGATGCCCTTCCAGCTGCAACCCATACACTCTCATTCACAAACATACACTACAGACAATTTAGCCTACCCGATTCACCCGTACCACATGTCTTTGAATTTGCGGAGGAAACCCATGCCAACATGTGGAGAACATGCAAACTCCACATGGAAATGCCAGCTTACCCAGCTGAGGCTCGAAACAGCGACCTTCTTGCTGTGAGTTGACAGTGCTAACCACTGCACCACCCCTTTTTACCTGCATATTTAGTTCAAATGATTTAATGTGAGGTACTTTAAGCTTAAAGGGATAGTTCACACGAAATTAAAAATTCTGTCATCATTTACTCACCCTTTACATAACATTTCTTTCTTCTGTTGAACACGAAAGAAGATATTTTGAAACATGTTAGAAGCCTGTCACCATTGACTTCCATAGTCTTTTCCTTCTATGGAAGTCAATGGTTGCAGGATTTTAGCTCTCTTCTAAATATCTTCTTTTGTGTTCAACAGAATAAAGACACTCATAAAGGTTAGAAAGAGTAAATAGTGAGTAAATATTCATTTTGGAGTGAACTATCTCTTCAAAGCTCCTTATTTGTGGAATATTCACTAATGTGTTCCTTTGTTTTATTGATTTATTTTCCTCTCATGTTGCTTTGCTGTTCGATTTAGCTTCATTTGCATGGTCTTATGTACTCTGGCTAGTCAGAGTTTGTCACTATTGTTCAAGCTCTTGTTCTCTCCAGACTGGATTACTGCAACTCTCTAATAGCGGGGCTTTCAGCTAACTCTATCAAACCTCTTCAGATGCTTCAGAATGCAGCAGCACGAGTGGTCTTTAATGAACCTAAAAGAGCACATGTCACTCCGCTGCTCACCCTTTTGCACTGGCTGCCAGTTGCTGCTCGCATCAAATTCAAAGCTTTGATGTTTGCCTACAAAGCGACTTCTGACTTTGCTCCTTCTTATCTGCTCTCACTGCAGATTTACGTGCCCTCCAGTAACCTGAGTTCTGTGAATGAACGTCGCCTCGTGGTTCCATCCCAAAGAGGGAAGAAATCACTTTCCCGAACTCTCACGCTCAATCTGCCCAGTTGGTGGAATGAACTCCCTAACTGCATCAGAACAGCAGAGTCACTCGCTGTCTTCAAGTCTCCACTTCCCTTCCTAATCTGCAATTGCCTCTCTGGCTCCACCGCTAACTTTATTACAAAAAAAAAAACTTACATTACTATTGTTTTGCTTCTTACACTTTACACACCTGAAACTTGCCTACAGCATATATACATTGTTGCTCTTATAGTTGTGTAAGTTGCTTCCTTGTCCTCATTTGTAAGTCGCTTTGGATAAAAACGTCTGCTAAATGACTAAATGTAAATGTCATTAAGATGCAGTGAGCCGCTCTTTTTTTCTGACAGACTCTATAATTGGGCTGTCAAATGGCTGATGCTCTCTCCAATCGAACTCTGTGTGTTTGTGTGTGTGTGCGTGATCTGACCTATGCCGTCTGATCTCAATGGAGCATCTGACAAGTGATGCAGGTGAACTTCCACAATTCAGCAGAACTCCTTAACAAAATAAAACTCCCTGTACTGAAGCTTGAACACTACAGTGCATGCCCCCCCCCTCACTTTTATAAACAAAACCCAAAATCTGAGTGGTTAGCACTGTCGCCTTACAACAAGAAGGTTTCTAGTTCGAGTCCCGGCTGGGTCAGTTGGCATTTCTGTGTGTAGTTTGCATGTTCTCCCCGTGTTGGCATGGGCTTCCTCCTGGTGCTTCGGTTTCCCCCACAGTCCAAACACATGCGCTGTATGTTAATTAAATAAACTAAACTGGCTGTAGTGTATGAGTGTGTGTAATGTGATGGGGACGCTGAGTCATAGTCATCAAACAGGAGAATGGTCAGTACAGGCAGGCAGCAGACAATATAAACAAACAAACAAACAAGGCGAGGGTCAAAACACGGCAAAGCAAGGCGTTGTAATGTCACAAGCAATTAAACAAGACTCAGCAAAGAGATGTGTGTGCGCACTGTATTTAAAGTCCATCTAATCAGTTCACGAGCAGCTCTCAGTCATGAGTATGTGTTATCAACCGAATGCGGAACAGGTGCATGTGAGCGGTGCATGACTAAATATGTAGTTTGTGTAATGGTGGATTTGTAGTTCGTTACCGATCTGCAAGGATTAGATCGCTGGTGATTGTGACAGTGAGTAAATGTGTATGCATCCGCTGCATAAAACATATGCTGGAAGAGTTGGCGGTTCATTCTACTGTGGCAACCCCTGAGGAATAAAGGGATTAAGCCGAAAGAATAAGAATGACTGTATGAAAAATACATAAGTGAATGTACATTCACAACTGTATAGATACTTAATCGTATACCGGCGTGAATAATTTATACACATTGCAATGTTTTGTCTCTCTGAATCTTGATATTCACATCACCTCTGGTCATGGAATTTTAGAAAGTTTGTTCCAGATATTAAAAATCAAGTTGTTGTTGTTTTTGTTTGTACTAGTCGTGCATTATCAGGAATTTTATTTAGTCGCTTTTTGTCACGGGTGATTGCAAGAAAACAGACCCAATTGCAGCAATGAACAATACAAAGGGGTTTATTGACAGGATAAGGCACAAGTAGACACACAAGGGGATGATAAGGTCCAAACGGTAGGGGCAACAACACAAGAAAGCCATTGGTAGTGACAAGATGGTACTAAAATGAACAGCCAGCCAGGAGTAGGAGCAA